AATGAATACCTATTTCTTATCTAGCACTTTTTATCATTAGAGCTCAAAGTGGTTTACAAAGGAGGCAAATATCATAATCCTCATTTTATAGATGGGGAAACTGAGGCACAGAGCAGTGAAGTGACTTGCCCAAGATCACTTAGGAGTCCAATAGCAGAGCTGGGCATATGACCAAGGTCTCCTTAGTCCCAGTGCTGTGCTATATTGATGGGGTGACAAAATCTCCCAATTCTCCTTTGTCTATTTCAGTTTGAAGTATGAGCACAGTCCCGGCTCATACAGCTGCAGTCAGTTCATTGTGGAGAACTTTTTCCTACATTGCTCAGTACAAACAATTCATAATGCTTTGGAATGTTTCAGCCATTTTCATGACATGAATATTTTCTGTTCTGGCAGCAGATGTTCCCTTTTGTTGATGCTGGAAATGGTCTGGGTAAACGTATGTTGGCGTTATACCACGGCAGATCAGAACAGACAGCATCTGAATCAGTTTAGGGTGTCATTCAAATCACACATCATCACTTTCTTTCCCTACAGAAAAACCTTACAGCTAATATGCAGTATATCTGACATATTAATCTTTATATCAAAGAAAACAGTTGTAAATGTGTAAAGATCGGTAAATGGATATGAAGCTGCAACTCAGCAAATTGCATCATATTTGTCAGGATATTGGGACATTCCCCTCAGCAGCATCACTCACTCATTTTAAACTAATCAACATCGTATTTTCACTTCTAATCTGGAGTGAAATAAGAATGAATTACAAGTATGTCTCCAGTACAGTGGGCCCATTAATATTGGGATACTAAAGCCCTTACATATTGGGCTACCTTTAACACTTCATACCAGTAAATAATTAATGATAATCAATAATAATTTACCTGTAGATACTGCCTTTCACATCAAAGAGCCCAAAGCACTTCCCTACCTGTTGCTTAATTGCTTTGCTGAATCGGGGCCTACTAGAATGCACCCACTTCTGGAGTGGAGGGTATTCTACATAACAGTGAGGGAAGCGGAAATTTTGGCCAAGGACCAAGATGCAAATCTGAACTCTTAGAAAAAACGTTGTGAGATCTTTAACATTCATGCAAAAGGGAGGGGACATCAACTTTTAAGTAAGCTTTAAGCCACACAGTAAGCTCCATGAAACTCAGCTCAACTTAACTACTTCAGAAGATTGCAGAGGCCCCTGAGCCATGGCTGGAGTCTAACCAGTGGTTCCAGAAAGCTGATGGAGCTTATCCCTTGTGCTTGGAGCCCATAAGCAATTCCCTCTGGCTGTCTTTTAACACATCCTTTAACTTGTGACCACTTGGACTAGACATCACAAGGGCAAGACTTATATATGTCTTGGTTAAAGGTGAACTGTGAACTTTTTTCTTTTAAGTTGAAAAGAAAAATTTGATTTTTATGGAGGCAAAAAGAAATAGAGGAAGGATCTCAGTTATAAACAGATATCCAGTGAAGTTACGCGGCCGCTCATGTTGATAGTTGTGAAATGTGTGGGGTTTTTCTAATCCATGTTCATTGACAAAGCTTCCTCAGATCCTAGCCAAGGTAATGGAACTCTACCTCTGATCAATTTGTGCCTTTCTCTGTGAGAGCTCATTCCCCTTTGATATTGCATGTGTGGCTATAAATGGCACTGCCTTTGGCCAAAGGATTTTCCAGAGGCAGTGCTACTGATTTCCATGTGCTTGAAGCAGCCTTGTTGTTTTGTGACCAAGGCCCTCCTCTACTTTCCTAAAGCATATTTGTAGCTCAGGTCCCCTGATATTCATTTGCCAGAGGACCTTTATAAATGAATGAATATTCCAGGGATCAGTAACCTTTGGCATGCGACACATCAGGGAAAACCGCTGGCAAGCCGGGACAGTTTGTTTACCTGCAGCGTCCACAGGTTCGGCCAATCGCAGCTCCCATTGGCCACGGTTTGTCGTTTCAAGCCAATGGGGGCTGCGGGAAGCAGTGACCAGCACGTCCCTGGGCCCGCACCTCTTCCCGCAGCCCCCATTGGTCTGGAGCGGCGAACCGCGGCCAGTGGGAGCTGCAATCGGCCGAACCTGCAGACGCTGCAGGTAAACAAACCATCCCGGCTCACCAGCGGCTTTCTCTGAGGGGCTGCGTGCCAAAGGTTGCCAATCCCTGGAATGTACTAAGATATTCACAGGGTGTCGAGCACTGTCAATACCTACTATGTAGACCTGATCAACATTTTTTTTACAATAAATTTTTTTTGTTAAACAATGGAGTTGCTATGATGCTGAAATTTCTTGCCAAAATGTCATGGCCAACAAACCTTTTCATTTTTGGATTAAAATTTGAAACACAATTTTCTGAACATTTTCCCCGCCAAATTTTCTTTGGTTCAGAATGGTGGGAAATTTTCCCATTTTTTCCTCCCCCCAACCCCAAGTAACCAACAGGGGGAAAAAAACCATTTTCCCTCCACTCCTCCCTTTGTGTTACTTTGTTCCCCAAAGAAGGGGGGGGGGAGATAAAAAAGTGAGAAAAGGGGGTAAAGGAACCAAAAATTCAATATGAAATTTTTCATTTAAAATATTTTCCATGGAGAAATGGAAAAAAGTTGTGAAAAACTGCCTCGGTTTTCAACAGCTTTTTGAGAACACGTCTCCCCAAAACTTTTGACCAGCTCTACTGTTGGGAGTGGAAGGTGCTCAGTTCCTCACAGTATCAGGCCCCCCCTCAAGCTGCATTTTTACCTAGCCAAAATAGCCATGCACCGTGCCGAGGGAATACGTTAAAGCTGGGGTGCAACTCCATGGCAGGGAGGTGTGTGGCTAGATGCCCGTTAGCTGTTGCTTGATGATTTTGGCATGCAGTTGCTATGGGTGCTGAGGAAGGTCTGATCAAACGTTGAACTGATTGGACTTAGGTTCAACCCAGGTCATAACTGAAGACAGTGGTAGTGAAATGTTATTAAGCAGAGTAGAAAACACCTGTCAGAGAGTGACTCTTTAGCTAGTTTTTTTTTTTAATTTCCATTTCTGTTTGGTGTTTCCTTTACAAAAAGAGGAGCCTGCCCCCAACCTTGTTGCCAATCTAGCACAAAAGCCAAGGGGTGAATGAGCAAGGAGACTGAATTACTATGCAGTTCCATATTCAGGCCCTGTGCTGGGCAGTAGATTTCATCCTACTTGGGCTTTGTTGGCCTTATCTAAGGACTTCCACTAACTTCACTGGGCTTTGGATGAGGCCCCATAAGAGTTAAATGACTTTCAGCCACAGTAGGTTCTCGTCTTTCTCAAAATAAATCCCACAGGGATGTAGCCTCCTTGCAGATCCAGATCAATCTATAGCTATGTCCTGAAGACTGTCTGGCTGGATGTTCAGTAGCCAGGAACACCAGAAGCTCTCTATAAGTGGAGGGGGCCACCGGTGCCTGAACCATGGCCCCACCCCGCAAAATCCGATTCTCATCCTGCCTCTTCCCCAAGGCCCCACTCCCCACTCGCTCTATTTCCCCCCCCCCCCCCCCGTCGCTCACCCTTAAAGCAGATAAAAACTGGTGGGGTCATAGCCCGCTGACCCGCCCTGTTCTGGCACCCTTGTCCATGGCTGGTGATTTTATTGATCCCTGACCATGTAGCAGCATTCCTTGGTAAACATGCTTTGTAAGTCATGCTGAGGAAGACCGAAGAGTGGTGTATTGACATTTTTACTCTCATCATCGTTGTCAGCTGCTCCATATTAAATGGCAGGGCAAGATCAGCAATGAGGCTATTCGTAGCCGAACACACTGACTGCCTCCATTGGCACTGATTTGGTTTCAGCGTCTTTCTTGGTATGGGCATATTATTAGGATGGAAGACCAATGAATTATGAAAGCCATTGTAGGTAATTTATAGCAACATGCCTGTGCGTGAACCCCATTTAAAAAATTTCAAAGGGTCCCCCTGAAAAAAACCTGCACTCTTGAACTGGCAGACTTCACTCATCTTGTGTTTTCAGTGTACAAATCTCACTTGTGGGTGGAAAGCCATGTATTCTGCGTGCTTGCAATACTGACAATTAATCAGATGCATATGAGTCCAGTACAATGACACCTGCATCCGCTTTGCCCCCCACTCCCTGATTTAACTGTTCATTGAAGAATCGTGGTTATGCAATTAGACCTCATTACATAAATTTGAAATAACCATAATTTCCAATGGCAAAGCTTTGAGTATGAAAATGTTCAATTAAATGTCAAAGAAAAATGACAGCTTTTTCACATTCTAAAAGAGAGTCTCTCTAATTAGGTTGCTTGAATGTGAGCAAATGCTATCTGAACGGATGGCCTTGATGATCTAGAAATGCAATCTAGGCCTTTTCAGGCTACAGCCTGAGCACACAAAATGGCTGGTAATTTCTAAATTGGCTAGTAGGGGAAAAGATAGGTAGAAGGATGCAAAAAGCAAGGAAGCAGCTATCTCTTTGCTATGACAGCTTCTTTAGAGCTTATTCACTTCCTAATCAGACAATGGCAAGTGGGTATCAAGCAGCTGAGTAGTGGTGTATCTCTGCTTTTCAGCATAACACAAAATAAAGAGCAAGAAATTCACTGATATTGGAAAAAATTGGCTTCTATCCCGGGGAAGACTTAAAAACAATGTGTCTTAAACATAAGTTGATTTATTTTCCCTGTTTTTTCACAATTTCTTTTTACCACTTGCAGCATTCGAGCTATTTTTGCTTAAAGGGACATAGTTTGTTTTGCACTGGACTATGGAAGGGTTTGGGGGGAAATCCCATTGGTTTCTCATGGTAGCATTAAATCAGTGAGAGTTGGGCCCACAAATTTGTGTGTTGATCAACTGGGGACATGGGAGTCAGGCCAGGATGTTGGGGAGGATGTAGGTGGATTCTGGGATCAGGATCTCCAAAAGCCACAATTTCTTCTCACTGGACGTGCCCAGGTTTTCTTGCCTATGCCTAAAGATCACCAAATGGCATTTTCACGTTGTTTTCCTGCTATGCTTTCTACCTTGCAGCATCCCCATTTATCATCGCCATGCTCCTAGCAAGTTTAAACAGCTGTTGCAACCCGTGGATCTACATGCTTTTCACAGGCCATCTCTTCCACGACCTTATACACCGGTTCCTCTGCTGCTCCACACATTATTTAAAATCCAGGCAAGGATGTGACCTGAGCATCAGCAAAAAAAGCAACTCCTCCACATTTGTCCTGAGTTGCAAGAGCTCAAGTCAGAAGAGCTTCACTCAGCCGTCCACAGCCTGAGAACTGTCCCAGCACTCCATGGACTACATCACTACTTCACTCTGACCATCTTCAATATGTATTTGTAAAGAAGCTGTGATTAAGAATATGGTGGGGAGGCGACCGGGGTTTATATATGTATACATATATGTGTGTGTGTGTGTGTGTTGAATTCTTTATTTAACTGAGGCAGGAATAAGAAAAGAACTGCTGTAGTCAAAAGCACAGTTCGGAATGGATAGCTTAATGGAGTTCAAGTCAATGGACCAGATCTTGAATCCTTCACGTGTTCAAGTCAATGGAGGTTTTGCATAACGACTGAATAATAACTGAGGGGCTTGTCCTGAAAGCTGAGTAGACTTACTGAAGCTGACGAGCCAAATTCAACCCTGGTATAAGTGGGTACAGCTCCATTGACTTTTGAGGAGTTTCACCACAGGGATAGCACAGAGTAAAAGCTACCTGGGCTGGCCTTACTCAAGTAAGAAAGTATTACTCATGGAAGCAGTTCCATTGATTTCTGTTTGGCTCCAGGTTTGTTTAAGGCCTTCCAATATGTCCTTAATCAGCAATAATGCCCCATTGGCATCAAGAGAGTTTTGACTGAGTAAGGATTTTGGTCCTGATCCTGAAACTATGTATGCACATAGAATCATAGACTATCAGGGTTGGAAGGGACCTCAGGAGGTCATCTAGTCCAACCCCCTGCTCAAAGCAGGACCAATCCCGAACCAAATCATCCCAGCCAGGGCTTTGTCAAGCCTGACCTTAAAAACCTCTAGGAAAGGAGATTCCACCACCTTCCTACGTAACCCATTCCAGTGCTTCACCACTGTCTTAGTGGAAGAGTTTTTCCTAATATCCAACCTAAACCTCCCCCATTGCAACTTGAGACCATTGCTTCTTGTTCTGTCATCTGCTACCACTGAGAACAGCCCCCTTTCAGGTAGTTGAAAGCAGCTGTCAAATCCCCCCTCATTCTTCTCTTCTGCAGACTAAATAATCCCAGTTCCCTCAGCCGCTCCTCATAAATCATGTGCTCCAGTCCCTAATAATTTTTGTTGCCCTCCGCTGGACTCTTTCCAATTTTTTCACATCCTTCTTGTAGTGTGGACACCGTACTCTGGACAAAACTGGACACCGTACTCCGGATGATTAACTTGAAGCATGTGAGTAAGTCCCATTGGCTTCAGAGGGACCATGCACATGGTTCAGTTTAAGGATGTGCATAAATGCTTACAAGATCAGGGTGCTGGTACATGTATGCTGAATGTGTTCAAAAGCTTTAGTTAAGGCAAAAACTTGGGGTGAACGTCTGGCTCCATTAAAGTCAATGACAAAACTTCAGTGTGGCCAGGCTTTTACTCTTTGGTTTACGTAGGCAGTGAAGTATTACACCAATACACTTTTCTTGCTATGTAATTCACGCGATCTTGGTTATGGCATGGAGTATTTGTTAAAAGATTTTTTTTTTTTGTAAATAAAATTTGATAAATTCAACTTGAAGAAAAGAGAGGAACAGTGAAAAAAAAAAGCATACGAAGGAAACCTTGGAGAAAACAATGCTTCATGCACAAACTACAAGTATATCTAGATTGTATGGAATGCTTTTGTTTCTAGACTAATGCATCAAACATTTATGAACTGTACAACATTGTATTACATAAACATAAAGCTAGCACAACTATGGTACCACTTTGGAAAAGTGCAAATAGTTATGGCACGATCCTGTTGCTGGTGAAGTCAGTGTGACTTTCCCACTGAATTCAGTGGCAGCAAGATGAGGTCATGCAGGACTGAGTGGCCAACTCTTTGCTCATGTTCATCATCCTTTCTCACACAGGTAGTTCCAAAAGCAATGGGACACCATGCATGAGTTATGACTGCACACAAAGGAGGGGCTGAGGGATTTGACTGTATTTTTGCAATGGATATAAATACTGCATATTTATCATAATGGATATAAATACTGCATATTTGCTGTTTCATTATCATCAACTGATCCATTTTCAGCTTTTAGGTCTATAGATTTTGTTTTGGTGTTCAGGCAGTTTTTTAAAATAGTAGCTTGGGACTGACTCTTAAGCATCGTGACACTCATTGGTTCAACTTGGAGTTTAGATCCCAGCTTGTTCCCAGGCACTAAAACGGTGGAACAGTGAAGTTCTGCACTTTCTCCATCCTCTTCTCATTTTCCTTGAGTTTAAATGGATAATGTGTAGATTGCCCCCTTTCTGCACTCCCCCAAGGAAGGAATGTACTTTTATTTTAATGGTTTTATTGTGATCATGGGAAAAAATCTACAGCTAGAAATACAGGTTCTCATTCATCCCTGTTTACTCTTGTTTTATGTGGGTTAACTCCACTGATTACAGTAGAGTCAGGCCTGTTGAGAGTAACTTGGGTCCCGGTACATCATGTGTGCTGCCCACCCTCCCATTTCACCTCAGTTACAGATACTTTAGGGGCCCCCTGAGCTTGGGGCCCTGGAGCAATTGTCCATCAGCCTTGAGTAGAGCTCCGGTGGTGTAAAGCAGAAGTAGATAGCTGCAGGGGTGAAAGTAGGCCGGTACAGCATAGATGGTAAGAAGAGGCCACCGGTACCGGCCCGTACGCAGCCGACGTTAAAGTACTACTTCGGCAGCACTTTAACATCACTGCCCCTTTTGCCCTGCCCCCTGCCGGCAGGGACCCTACCAGCAGGGCCACTGCCAACAGGGGGAAGGAGGGGAAGCAGCAGCAGCCAGAGCCCCAGGCCCTTTAAATTGCTGCAGGAGCCCCACCCCTTCCAGGGGCCCAGAGCTGCCTCTCTCACCCCCCACCGGTAAGTGCTTAATGTTACTTTCACCCCTGCATAGCTGTGATTCAGTCCGACAGCTGAGCACCAGGCTAGTGCGGCAATCTTAGCATGCACAAAACTCCAGTTGGACGATGTCCAGTCTTGCACTGTTCTATCATGCACAACTCCCACTGAGTCGAAGTGTGCACTGCCTGATGGAGCGGGATTCTGATTTAGTTAATTGCAAGATTTCAAAGCACTTGTTTCCTATTCAAATTAGAGAAAGGACAAAACCAAAGACCCAAATCTAATCTTGCCCAAAGGTTTGGAAAATTCAGAACCTTGTCCTTATTTATATAATAAGCCCAACTAAAACCCTAAATCCTACCCACACATGCCCTCATATCTCAGGATTATTTAGACTGAACTTTGTGGCTTGGACCTATCTCTACAAATTGCCCACGACACTGACTTTTTGTATAAAACCTAGTAGAATTGATTCTCCTCCTGGGCCCGATTTGCATCTGAGAAAACTGGGTATTAATACGATAGCCAATGATGGCCAAAAATTGAGTATCCTGCCAGACCACCTTGAGGACTGACCTAGCGATTCAGCCAGGTGGTGCTAAAGATGCAAGGAGGGTATGGCCCTTTAGGATTGGACAGGATGATTGAGGATGACAATGGGTATTAAATGCTATTGTTTTGCTACGATGAAGTTTTAGTGCCACTTTGCACAGGTGTAAGTGACTCCATAATGTGCCAGCCAGTGGAGAATCCAGGGCCATTGCGGTTTCCTTGTGTTATTCCTACCATCCACTGTACATTCCAGATCTTTCTGGAACTGATTACTGTACACTGCATTATATTTCACAGTGTGCTGGAAACAGACGGCCAGCACGTAACCTTCTTACTCAACCCTTACTTGGGCAAAACTCCCGTTGACGTCAATGAACTTCAGTTTTGCCTGAATAAGGACTTAAGATTTTGTCCACCGAGCTTGATCATGCTCTTATGAAAGTCCAGTTCTGCACTTTCTTCTTACCACCATCCAGGTACGGCAGTTTAATTTGTTTGTCCTGCAGCTGCATCAGCATGCTGTATATTAAGGGAAGTGAATGATGAGCTTTTTTGCAGAAATGGTTTACAACCAGAAAGCTCAGTAAATTGTTTTTGAGACACAATCGCTGATTATATTTTAAACCTTGGGAACAACAAATCATAATAATAAAAAATAAAGTCCCCACCCCCCTGCAATCTACCTATTTTTTAACCTTTATTATTTGGGACAGGTCATGATCCTGGATACAATCCTACAGCATAGTCAGCAACTTTGCTGCACCGTCTAGGCTATTGGTCTTGTGTGTGGAGCACAGGGGAAGAGCAGCCACCACTGAGCCACTCCTTCTCCTCCTCCTGTGCATGGTGAGTGATGATGGGTGGGCAGAGATGCGGAGAGGGTGGAGTCAAGGCTCTGATACTTCCTCCCCACCAAGTACCAGGCAGCACAGCTGAGTTAGCATGGAGGAGTGTGTGAACTGTACCAGGAAAAGGTCTGATGCCACTTACTTCCTCCACCAAGCAAGAGGGAAGCAGGGAAGCTTCTGGGTTGATGTAACTACTCCATACTGACTGGACTGCAAGGTGCCAGTAAGCCCACTGGAAGGATTTCACTAAAACACTGCACGGCAGAATCCCTGACCCAAGGCACTTATAACCTAAGATGCAGCTGAATGGATTGGCAGCCCAGGACAACTGCCCTTTAACTTCCAGACGTCCTGCTTTGAAATGGCTTACTTTGGAACATTGAAAAGATGAAACAAGACACCTTAAATGAATAAATGCATTGCATTAACACATTTCAAAAGGCACATGAGCTCAGAAACAACACCGTAAAGGCTGCACACATACTAATAGCCCAAGAATACAGCTGGGAAGAGGTGTGTGTGTGTAGCTTTTTGAGTTGAGCGTGTAATCAATAGAACAACAAGCCTTATTCTTTTTTCAATCACTACATCCTTTTTTTCTCTATTAATCCTTTAAAAACATTAGTGTCATTGGCGTGTTTAGTGCCATTACTTTGCAAAAAAGAGAGCACAAATCCCCGACATCATTGGAGTAGCACCAGTAGAGAATTTGGCTCTTAGTAGTCATTGGAGGAGCACCATTGATTTCAGTGGGAGTTAAGCACCTAAAGACCTTTTGAAGATCTGGGACCTAGTACTTACGGGAAGCCAATGCACTGAACTGAGTAAAGGACCATTAACCCGATCAGGGAAAATGTCTGAAAAGTGAGCTAGCTCAGGCACTGATTCAACAAGGCACTTAAGCACATGCTTAACCTTAAACATGTTTAAGTGCCTTGCTTGATAGTAATGGAATTACTCACATGCTTTACATCCAGAATAATCTTCCTAGGGAATTGATGGGTTCCTCACTGTGTGATTCCTTAAAAATGGGCTGGACAAATTACCTGAGAATACAGAGTAGGAAATACCTTTGCACTTGACATAATGGCCCTTTTTTAATCCCTAATTTTTATGGGCCAAAACCCCTCTGACCTGAAATGTGCAACTTCCATTGAAAACAAAGGGTCTCTTTCTCCTCTTGCTTGCACGGTGGTATATCTGAACTAAATGCATTAAAGACACTAGGGTATCTCGTGTTAAATACTGCATGAGTGAATTAGGCCCAATGAGCTAAAATCTATTCTTGTTTATACCAGTGCAACACCATTGATGTTAATGGGGCCCCACAATTCTAGGAATTTTAGCTAATTCTTGCTCCAGTGTTAAGACAGCTGTAACTATAGGGAACATAGAAACATGGCAACAGGACTGATTAGCTAAGACTAAACACCATTAGGGAGGAAAATGAATTCCCTAGTTTATCATGAGATCAAACAAGCAAATAACATAACCCCTCCCCCCACCTTCTCAGCAAATAAGCCAAAATCTTTTATGAAAACCAATCTGGTAATTATTTAAGTGACTTAGTCAAATATGTTTGCGGTCATTGAGGTAAATATTCAGATGTGGTGGGGAGGCCCAACCGTCCGGTTTGTAAGTGTAATTTGGGTCTGAGAAAAAAATTGGGCCAAATGTCTGCAGCTTTTGTGCCTGCCATTGAATCCTGGATACAGCTTGTAATAGCTGCATGTTTAACTACCTGATTTATGCCCACAGTTAGTTAGCGGGTCTAAATGCCATGATATGCACTTGCAGCCACAAAACAACAGACACAAACTGCACTCCTCGAAAAGCATGTTCAGCAGTCAAACATTTACCCAGTAAGGTTACCTGGATTTAAAAGCTTAAATGGAAACACACCTGGAAACAAAACTTTGTCATTTACATCATCAATCCATACACTTCTGGCATATTGCAAATTAAAACAAAAGCGTTTACAACAGCCACTATTTGCAGCAATAATACATAACTGTGCTTCCTGATACTATTTTGAGCTAATGGCTAACTAAACCGACCATTTTGCACGATACCCGAATGTACTTTAGCTTTCTCACACCCTTATTTGTTACTTAATAAATGCATGTGTTAATCTAAGGTTGTGGTCCATGAAATAATTACAGAGGAAGTTCTGCTCTCCTTTACATTAGATTGAATGTGTAGTAACTGCATAGGCATCCCTGGTTACTCCAGTGTAACTGAGAGAAGAATATGGTGCACAGTCTTTTAGGAAAACTTCGGAAGTGTGATTGTTGGGTGAGTGATTGTTTCTGCGTTTTCTCCACCAATCGCTCTAGACTTCCTTGCGTAGGGCAAGTTTGATGCTGCTAAATATCTGCCCCAGGGCCTTGCACAGTGGGTCACAGAAGGTGTGGATGCAGAGGGAGTAAATTCTGCTGACACACTGGATTTCGATCACGTAGCTTTTGATGCAGGGCACCACTGCCCAGATATGACAAAAGGAGATTAAAGCAAAGAGGAAGCCCCAGATGACTGCCAGAGGGATTCCCAACACAACCGAAAGCAGCCGGTAGCACCAGTACTTGCTGACTGTGAAGGTGGTGTAGCTGGTTTTCCATACTCCATCAAAACTGTATGTACCTGCTGGCTCAGCAATGACATCTTCAAAATCCACCTGAAATGCAGACAAGACAGAGGGGCGGGTTAGGGGGGTGCCACTCACACGGGATTCAAGCAGGGCAGGTAATCATCATCAACTGAAGAACAGTGCTCAAAATTACTCTTCTGTTTATTGGCCAGTTGAGATCTCTCATACATCGGCATGCTCCTATTCTAGTAGTGAAGATTCCAAAGTTTCTGAAGATGGAATCTTAACATACAAGTAATTGTGTTAGATCTGTAGAAGCACAGATCTTTCAGCCACAGTACAAGGCTCCTTTTAATCTCACTTAAGTCTAATACCATCTTTCTCCTGGAAATTTCAAAGAGATTCCTTGACGTAATTCTGATAAAATTCTATAGTTCCATCTGTAGCAACCTTACACCTTTACACTCTCTGTTTTTCATTTAGGTATGGAGACACAGCCAGTCTGTCCTATGTTTATCCCCTTATACAGCAGTTAGTGACAGCAGCAAAGTGCTTTAGGCCAGTATGTTGGAGGACATAAAAAGGAGTCAGATTTCTGTTACTGAGGCAGCAACACTGCAGAAGAGGGAAGCAGCAGATCATTGCAGTAGGAGAAGAACATGAGGAGAAAGAGGGATCAAATGTATTTGAAGATCTCATTGGAAAAGAAAATATTGTGAAGTGGAATTTATTTTTATTGTGTGAGATGATGTCACTGGGGTGCTTTAAAGGTGAAGAAATTAGAAAGATCGGCAGTCTCCTGTGATAGCTTTTGCCCTGAGCGGTTTACTTAATAAAATGTGGTCATCTGGGGAGGGATGTTCTTGCAGAATCTACTTCAAAGAGAGGACAGTGGACTAGGGGGGAAAGTGAGCACATTACATGCTTTTCACATGTCATTAAAGCTATATAAAGGCCAAAGGAGGACTAGAGATGGGATGAAGTGACCTGGAACAGTTCAGATGTTTGCAACCAGGGGCTGCTGGTCCATTCTCCCCGTGTACAAGGTAGCCATTTGGTGACATCTTAGAACTAGGGGCTGAATGGCTCCAAAGAGTTTTGGTTCCGTTTTTAACTTAAAAATTTGCAAACGCAAACTTCATCTGCAACCGAAACTGGCTGACTCCAGCAGAGTTGCTCCTGATTTACACTGTTTGAAGTGAGAAAAGAAATCAGATGATTTCCATCTTCTCTATCTCCCCCTCCTCTCCCTCCTCATGATTGAATGCAGGGTGTTTTAACCTCTCTCTCCTTCTTTCTTGGTTGCTTAATGGCTTAAGGATCTTTATGCCTCCAGTAATTTTTCTGTGTCACCCTGTGTGCACCAAACAGCACGGGGAACATTTCTGCCCTTAATGTTCCACAGCCACTTCCTATGATTAGATTCACATCTGATACATAGTGGCTGCAGAAAAAGACTTTGGGATCATAGACAGTCTTTATTCTCACTGGATATGATGGACACTTACTGCTCTCACTTACATGGGTGTCTGATCAAAAATAGCTTTACTCCATATGTACATTGGTATAGCTGAGTGCAGTGTCTGGAACAATATATTTACAGGTATTAACAAACCAGATAGTGACGTGCAGAAGAGATACAAGAATGCATGTTTGGTGGGGAACATATGCTGGATATAACATCACTACCCAGCTGTCCCAATCCCATTTTGCCCTGCTCATTGAATGTCCATCTACAGCACGCTAGCAGTTGTGCTTGGTGGCTGATCAGTGAGCCTCCTAGTTCAAATACTAAGCTGGCCTTTGCATCACCTATCTTCAAAAGTGGCTCTTTTTCTAAATGCAGAAACCAAAGCTCACATTCCAAGACATCCTCTATTGATTTTAAGAGGTTCAATCCACACTCATTTATCGCATCTGAATTCCGGTAATGCTTCAAGGAAACAGAATAATTTAACAGAGCCTTTTCAATCTTCTCTCTTACCCCCAAGGGGCCAAATTCACCCTTGGTGTAACTCCATTTAAGAGGATAGAGTTGCACCAAGCCCACACTCTTCAATGGTAAAAGTTAGAGATAACGCCCTTTTGAGGTTCAGTCCAGTGTTCCTCGCTCAGTGTCTCTCTTGATCACGGCATGAGGGAGAAACAATTCTATTCTAAATAAGACTGTGATACTGTGAACACATTCAGCTGCCCCATCGACTTCTCCACTGCTCCAAACAGGGACAACTTGCTGACACAGTGTCCTGAATTTTGGCAGGTTTTTTTTTAAAGGTTCACTTTAATTCTTTAGAGTGACATGGGCATGAGTCTTTGTTTTATATTTGGCTTCCTGCTCCCCAAGACTAATGGGAAAAGGTCAGTCAATTGGCAAGCTACAGCCACGGAAGTTGGAGTGAGTATGTTCAAAGAATTAAACAAGCGCATTCATCAGAGATGGGAAAGCCACATGGGAAAGCCACATGAAATCACCTAGTCAGTTTATGCATCTCCCTGGCAATGCAGGATTTCTCCCTACAGCACATTTTCAAACTACTGCCCTCGATAATTCCTCTTCCTCTGACATATTGTCCAGCTACACCCTATATTTAGTGATTTAAACATACAGTAGAATTTGAGCCTGATATAAAAGCAAAATACCAATAGATTTATTGCACTAAAATGCAGAGATGCATATAAAATCAAAGGCGCTCAGAAAATGTACCTTTATAACATCTTCATTAATGTGCTTTGGATCTCTGTTCACCAGGTCTATTTCCTTTGTGTGCTGGTCCTTTATTATTATCCGCTCCTCGAGTCCAGTTTGCTCTTCTGCCATAGTTTCTTGATAGAATGGCGCAAGTCAATTTAAAAAAAGTTCCAGAACCTTTGCTCTGCTGGCAAAATACCTCGAAAGATAGTTGTGCATTCAGTATCTCAAGCGTTGTGCTCTTCTTTACTAAGCAAACCCCACCCGGGATACCAGTGAACAGCTGCCTCGCTATAGCTTCAAGACCCTCTACGAAATCTGCCTGTGGCAAACCTCCAAGCTAAAATTAATATTGTAGCTCACACTGAGGCCTGAAAGCATTCCTTAAAGGGGCACTGGACTCATCTACGCTTTCATACCATACAACTATCTTTTCAAAGGAGTTAGCCTGGATGAGTCAGAGAGAGATTGAAGAAGGGTAATTTTAAAGAGAAAATAATGCAAAATACATTATTGGAGGCTTTAATGGGACTGCACTCTGGCGGGGTGTTAATTCAAGGTATAGAATAGAGAACTTCAGGGACACTGCAGGGGTACATGCTGGAATAGGAGCTTAGCATACATTTCCAGAGTGCAGTATGATCGCACTCTTCTGGTTTAGCTTCACTGGTGACTGCAGGGGGGGCTTGGACTATCCTACTCCCACATGGGACAGTCTAACAGTGGTGTCTGTGTTAGACTAATGCAGTGTCAGGACTGATCACCATAGTTATGTCTACTGTTGCAGAGGGAGGGGATAGGAAGTAGGCTGAAGGTTCCTTGTGCCTCCTCGCCTCTTGTACACCTGTGTAAGGCCAGCCACAATCTGGACCATGGCATCACCCATTCATCCTTCGATGTGCCCAATGGCAAGATGTAAGCCCACCCAGAAACATACAAGAGACATTATGGGCCAGATAGTGGCTAGTCTTTGAGTAGGTGTGGAGCCTGCTCCCTGAGAATAACTCTTGGGTCTCACAGCACCCCACAAAAGGGTAAGGAAGGTGAGGTGGCTGAAGCCCCTGCATCCTACTAACTGGCTGGGTGATGAAGAGGGAAGGGAGAAACGTACACAATCTGCTCCTAAGAGATTGTGTAGCAAGCATGCGCTCCTCTGTATGGTGGAGCACAATGTTTCCCTGTGCTACCAGGAGGCAGCATGATACATCCCATTGCTCCCACTGAAGCTATGCAGCTTTGCACTTCTCCCAACACAAGTCATCAACTAACTACCAAAAAGCCAGGCAACACAAATAAGAGCACCCCACGGGCAGCATCATGATGAACTATGCTCTGTGCAATCCTCATATCAATAAGGGTTGTATTTTAAACATCCTTCCAGCTCCCCATTACCAAAGGAGACAGAAGAAAGCAACAAAAATGATACATAGATCAGAGTGCAAGACCATATGAGAGGCTGAGGCAAATAGAGTTATTTGGAGCCTGTAAAATAAGTGACTCAGGGGAGGCAGATCATGGGCTATAAATATCTCCAAAGAAGCTATACTGTCACGGAACAGCCGAACAAATCCCCAGAGTCCTTTTAAAAGGCAGCCAAAAATATATAGTCTCGGGGAAGGAACTTGGAGTCTTCTAGCTTTTTCACGTAAATAAAATTTCAAACAAACAGAAATAATCAAAGTCACAAATCAAGAAGGGCCCATACTAACGGATATTTGGCTTCTTAGAAAGTTAGGCAAAGTGCCATCATAACTATATTAATTAGGATTCATTGAACACTTATTGCATTTAAATATCCATCTGCTATCTCTTTCCAGTGCTTTGTAGGTTCTGGTGACTAAGTTAGTACATTTATTCTAAACAGAGTGTAAAAAATTTCCAGTAAGAAAAAAATGATGTTTACAAACATCTTAATTTGAAGAAATTACACAGACTATCTGGACAATAACTAATCATTATTTTCTCCTGCCATAGACATGAAGGGATTGGAAAGACCTCGCTAAATCATCTAGTCCAGTCCCCCGCACTGTGCTATCATGTGCTATTGTGGAATAAACAACTAAACGAGAGTTATTTTTCAGTGTTAGATTTTCCCTAACGGGGGTTGTCAATAGTACCTACATTAGCTCCTGCACAAGCAGCAGGTTCCCACAGCAAAGCTGCTGGCTGGCTGGCCCGTTACAATCCAGTGAGGTTAGATAAGACAAATGCGGTCTGTTCACAAACAGTGTGTTGTGACATACATCAACGACCAAAACGGGCCACAGTGAAAAGCAAGCGAATGATTCACACTGTTATAGGATGGTACAGTAAGGCAAATAGTAGTGGCTGGCATATAAGGAAGAAAGGGCCTGATTCTCCCCATACTCTGTACCTTGTGTAACCATTACAACTGAGTGAAGAGGGAGCAAAATGCATGTAAACAGTCCTGCAAAACGCAAGGAGTCAGACTGGAAGTTGGTCTCTTCAAACCCTTCTGAGCCGCCTGTGTCATTAGGGATTCATTTGCCAGTGTTATTGGCTGGACTGGTGAACAGATTCAGCAAAGGATTTGTAGAATTTGCAATTCAGTCAGAAGAGTAGTAATGTTTTCATTGACATGGGTTAATAGATTTCTAGTTGGGAACCATTCCGTTTATTTTTCACACAAATGAAGCTAAGATCATGGCTAAATACAAAAAAGGAACCTATTAGCATGTCATAGTTCTAGTCTCTATAGTAGGCAATGGTGGCCATGTTGGATGGGTATGTCGATCTAATGAAAGAATTCTCTTCCCTCAACTGAAGCCGTGTTGCAAGATGATGCCAAAGCCGAAACATTAATGAAAATGTGAGATTTCACACGTTCTGCGACTTCTCCCAAGAGGCAATACTTCAGTCAAAGATATTTGTGTCTCTGTGTGGGAACATAGACGTTTGTGTCTGCATGTTGTGTGTGTGAAGGGAGATTTGGGATGTGTTGGAGGTTTGGAAGGGGTGTTTTCAGTAGGTCCACAAAGTGTGAGGAATGGCAGGTGAAGGGAGGAAACTATTAACGGCAAGAGTTTACAGCCCCTGTCCTAATGTGCCTATGTAAATGATAAGTCTAGTTACCTATAGACTTGATTTTGGTCTCATTCAGATTGTACACCAGTCTGACTTCACTGACTTCATTTACAGAAATGCAGAGTCAGGTCCCAGACTCACAAGAGTTGCAGGGCCTGATTTGCAGAAGTGCGGAACATCTATAGCTACAGCTGAAGTCAGCAGATGCTCTGCACCTCTGAAAATCAGACTCTGTCTGCTATGCATTTCAGCTGATTATCCCTAGCATGATCTGAGCAAGCGCTGGTAGCAGGTTATCCAACAGTTGCCTCACTTCCCGTTATAACTTTCTGAAACCTTCATGTCTTGGACGCTTTCTCACAATGAACACTGAGCAGAGACAGTTAGCAACCACACAAGCAGCAGGTTCCCACAGCAAAGCTGCTGTCTGGCTGGCCGATTACAATCCAGTGGGATTAGATAAAACAAACGCGGTCTGTACACAAACAGTGTGTTGTGACATATATCAACGACCAAAATGGGCCAAATTCAAATTGTCTGCAGTGAAAAATACAGCTTTAATTCAGTCAGCTGGTTCTACTGAGGTCATAGACACGTAGGCGGGGGTGCTTTTCAACATTAGCTCCCTTGGGCCTATGATTTAGTACTGGACAATACGTTCTGGTTTTATGGTCTCTTTCCTTTACAAGCATCTTGCTGGTAAAAAGTTCCTTCCAGGTCAAAAATCTGCCATGCAGAGAGAGTCTGATTTAGAGACTGTTATGATGAAAAATAATGAAAGCAGTAGGAAAAAGGAAAGAGATATGACTCATTAGAGGAATGATCATTGCCTAGAGACACAAGCAACTACCAAATAAGAGTCGGTGATTTCTAGTGAAGATTTTATTATGTAAACAACAAACCACTAACGACTGCAGCCACTTGGAATGGGGCTAAAACATCACAATAGCAAAAAAAATATTTTCCCTTCAGCTTCAACACCCCCAACACAGTGCCTCTGCTGCTTTCATCAACAACAGTCTTTGATGTCTGAGGTTAGCAGTGCTGAGGTATTTTCTGTACAAACCCTTTCTCCTTAACTACCTCTTTAAAACAGTTCATATAATGAAGCACTAAAACCGGATTTCATTCTCTCTTTCATTGGTTGAAACGTGACCGGCCTCTTAAAACCATCTCTCCTACAAGGGCACCTTTTGTAGTGGTAGGGACCTGACTGAACTCCAACCACCTTCTGCTTGCTTGAATTCTAGAGTGCACCATACTTGGTTTCATATTAAAGTCAATGGAATCACCCAAGGAAAAAGATATCTTCAACGTGTTTAAGGGGATCACCATCTGGTCCTATGAAAGCATATGTGATGGCCGCCATCTTGGCTAACACACGTGGGATTGAAGCAGGGACCTAACCAGAGCTATAAGCATGAGATGCTATGGTGTGAGTTAAAGAGCCTCCATCCCATAGCCTCCATCCCATAACAAACTCAAACCATCTCAGGATTGCCACAAAGGCAGACTGTAACCCACACTGGCCAGTGGGTTTTATGGAAATAACGCCCCCCTCCTCCCCCTCCCCACAAATTCAGGCCCAAATTTAGCAAGGTATACAAATACGTAGTCCTTGTGTCTTCAGTGCTCACATGCGTAAAGTTAGGCATGTGCTTAATCAAGTGCTTAAAGTTAAGCATGTAACTTGGTAACTTACTGGATCAGGGCCCAGAGAAGATTGTTGATGAACAGGAAGAATCATAGAATCATAGAATATCAGGGTTGGAAGGGACCTCAGGAGGTCATCTAGTCCAACCCCCTGCTCAAAGCAGGACCAATCCCCAATTAAATCATCCCAGCCAGGGCTTTGTCAAGCCTGACCTTAAAAACTTCTAAGGAAGGAGATTCCACCACCTCCCTAGGTAACGCATTCCAGTGTTTCACCACCCTCCTAGTGAAAAAGTTTTTCCTAATATCCAACCTAAATCTCCCCCACTGCAACTTGAGACCATTACTCCTTGTTCCGTCGTCTGCTACCACTGAGAACAGTCTAGAGCCATCCTCTTTGGAACCCCCTTTCAGGTAGTTGAAAGCAGCTATCAAATCCCCCTCATTCTTCTCTTCCGTAGACTAAACATTCCCAATTCCCTGAGCCTCTCCTCATAAGTCATGTGTTCCAGTCCCCTAATCATTTTTGTTGCCCTCCGCTGGACTCTTTCCAATTTTTCCACACCCTTCTTGTAGTGTGGGGCCCAAAACTGGACACAGTACTCCAGATGAGGCCTCACCAGTGTCGAATAGAGGGGAACGATCAAGTCCCTCTATCTGCTGGCAATACCCCTACTTATACATCCCAAAATGCCATTGGCCTTTTTGGCAACAAGGGCACACTGTTGACTCATATCCAGCTTCTCGTCCACTGTAACCCCTAGGTCCTTTTCTG